GGGACTGGAAGATGGCTCTGCAGTTAAAAAGCACTTGTTGCTTTTCCAGAAGACCTGGATTCAATTCCCAGAGCCCACATGGTGATGCACAACCATCTGTAACTCCAGTTCCAGGCAATACAACTCCTTCTGGCTTCCCTGGACACCAGGCACACGAGAGGTACACAGATAGACATGCAGGTAAAACACCCATACACATAAAATATTAAGATTCTGACCATATTTTAAATCCCAGTACTGAGGAGGCAGAAGCAGATGGATTTCTGTTTGAGGCCAGCCTGGTCTACACAGTGAGTTCCAGGGTAGCCAAGGCTACATAGCAAGAAAAACTTATTTCAACACACACACATGCACACACACAGAGAGAGAGAGAGACAGAGAGAGAGAGACAGAGAAACAGAGAGATTAGTAGTAGTAGTCTGGCCCTTGAAAAACTGAACTCTAAAATAAACAAATGTTAGCACATTTTACTTTGCATCATAGAGAATCTATGATCAATATAATTTTTGCCCCAAATCAGGCAAGAACTTTAGCACATCCAGGCAGCGGTGGTGCAGGCCTTTAGTCCCAGCACTTGGGAGGCAGAGACAAGTGGATCTCTGTGAGTTCCAGGCCAGCTTGGTCTACAGAGTTCCAACACTACACAGAGAAACCCTGTCTCAGAACAAAAACAAAAACCTTCAGCCCAGTCTCCTTTGCTCACCTGCCTCCAGCAGCCTCCTGTGTTGGCATCATCTGAGATTGCACTCCTATTTTATAGAAATCTACATACAGAAAAATCTTGTTGTGACAATAAATCTTAGTGGCATCTGTTCATTGATGACTGTTGTATCATGCCCCTGAATTTGCTTTTGTCCTTAACTCCCCAGAAATACCTTCAGAGATGGGCTGGGGAGATGGCACAAGCATGAAGGCCTGAACTTTATTCCCAGGACCCACATAGAAAAGCTAGGTGTGTGGTGTACACTCATAATCCCAGCACTAGGACCAAGAGTTCAAAATCATCTTCAGATACATAGCTACTCTAAGACAAGTTACACGAGACCTTGTCTTTTAAAAAACGCCTTGAACTTTGGTCTTATATTTGAGTGACATTTGGGGGTCATAGGTTGCTCAGTGTTCCTTGATCTCTTTCAGAGCACTGTGGTTACTCCATACTCTTCCCCCACCCACCCTTGCTGAGACCTAGTCCCTGCAGAGCTAACCTGCTTCCCTCTTTTCCTCTTGACTACTAAGCATTTCATCTTCATCCGTTATGACATTGTGCTGTGACCTCTGTGGAGTGCCATCTGTCTCCATCTTTTAGGGGCCAGTGAGTCCCTTTAGGAATCTTGCCCATGCTTTAGCAGATTTGCTCTCTGCTTTGCTCTCCTTTCTTGGGGACTCAGCCATGCCTGGAACCCCTTTTCTTGTTTGTTTGTTTGTTTTTTGATTTGGTTTGTTTTCTGATCTGTGCATGTCTCTGCCTCTTTGAGCTGCGATGCAAGGGGGTCTCTCATGTCAAATGCTACACTCATGAATCTGCAGTTGGTGTGTCCTCTCATCCCATCAGTTAATGGCCTATCGAGTTCCTTTCTAATGGCTCTTTGATGACAGCTATCTCATGCCTAACGAAGACTCTTCCATCCACTGAGGATATTAATTTCACTCTTTGGTGGTGGCTATCTATGTCAGAAGAGCTGCAGTCAGCAATGGAGCTTCTGGAGTGCAGCTCACTGGATAGCACAGCTGTAATGAATACACCCCAGAGAGGAGAGCCCTCCGAGGGGAGGGGTCTCCAGGCCTCTTCCCCCCTACCCCCCTCCCCCTACCCCCTCCCCCGCTGTGGCCTCTCCTGCTTGCCTCTATTGTGTTCTTACTGTATCTGGCACAGTGTGATTACTGTGTGAAAGGATCCCACTGTATCTAGTATGGTGTGACTGTTTCATGGAAAAACCCCACTCCTCACAGGGCAATTTACTTGCAGATCACAATAAGATGATTTTTCTAGCACAATATGCTTAGAGATGTGAGATTTGCTGAGGATCGAAAATGAAAATAAGGAAGTTTCACACACTATAGACCCACGAATTCTGCCTGTGGAAAAACAGGCTGAAGATCAAAGAAGGCAATTATGTCCCTACACCCAAGGTTAGGTGTTGTGCAATATTTGTTTAACTAAGCAAAAATGTGTTGTATTTGTTTAATTATGTAAAGATGTGCGGATATTTTACCTTGCCTGCCTAAGGCACCTAAGTGCTCTAATATAAAGCTGCATGGAGGTAGCAAGGGAGGATGTATAAAGTAGAACTTCCAGGCAGGGAGAGTAAGGAGGAGAAAGAGTTTAGACTGGCTGATGGGGGCGGGGGGCAACAGGGAGATGCCAGAGGCCAGCCAGCCAGGCAGCTGCCAGCCATCCAGACATGGAGGAAGCAGGAAAGTAGGACACACAGAATAAAAGAAAGGTAAAAAGCCTAAGCAAAGCGTGTTCCCAGCTCCTGCTGGATGAGGAGTGTTTCTGCAGAGCGACAAGGCCCTAACTGAGCAGAAGCCTGAGCTACTTGAAGTGCAGAGGGCTGGTTGGGGGGGAAGGGGGTGGTGTCTGTCACTGCTCAAGCAGCATTGGGACAGGTCTGTGCAGGGAAGCTGGCAGCAACCATTGACTTGCCAAATACAAGGGAGATCCCATTTGTTTCGGATTAAGGGAGTCAGAAGTTATCTCCATCTCAAAATTAAGAGTTGGAAGTACAAGGCTGAGGGGCTGGAGAGATGAATCAGAGGTTAAGAGCACTGGCTGCTCTTCCAAAGATCCTGAGTTCTATTCCCAGCAACTACATGGCTCACAATCATCTATAATGAGATCTGGTGCCCTCTTCTGGCCTGTAGGCATACATGCAGGCAGAACACCACACATGATAAATAAAAGGAAAAAAAAAAAGAAATACCAGGCTTGGTGGTTGAAAGCATTTGCTGCTCCCAGAAGGGGACTTGAGTTTAGTTCACAGCATCCACATCTGGTGGGTCACAACCATGTATAACTCAAGGTCCAGAAGAGAAAAGAGCCTCCTTTGGCCTCCACAGGTACCTATCTACACCTGCACCCCCATACAGATGTATACATATGGTTTTAAAAAATAAATTATTTAAACCAGACAATAGTGTCACATGACTTTAATCCCAGAACTTGGGAGGCAGAGGCAGGTGGATCTCTGTGAGGTCTACAGAGCTAATACCAGGACAGCCAGAGCCACAGAGAGAAACCTATGAAGTCCTGCCAGGCATGGGGATACACACCTTTAATCTCAGCACTCAGGAGGCAAAGGAAGGTGGATCTCTATGAGTTCAAGGCCAGCCTGGTACACAGAGCTAGTTCTGGGACAGCCAAAGCTACACAGAGAAACACGTCTCAAAAAAAAAAAAAAAAAAAAAAAAAAAAAAAACCAAAGGAGTAATTTGGAAAGCAGAGCAGTAGTGTGAGCCAAGTTTGCATTGGGATTGCAGTCTCTTAGAAACTCAACTATTTCAATGCAGATACAGAAGCAAACTCAGCTCTGCCTCTACCTTGCTGGTACAGACACATTACCTGTGTCCACAGAGGAGGCCAGAATTTTTTTTTTTTCCTGGACTAGGAATTTTGCTACATAGCTCTGGCTAGGCCCAGAAATTGCCATGTAGATCAGACTAGCTTTGAATTTGCAGCAATCCTCCTGCCTCTGCCTCTTAACTGCTGAGATTGCAGGCATGTACCACCATGCCCAGCTGGTCAGGCTCTGGATTTATTACAGCAGGTCAAAGTTGGCCACTTTGTATTTAAAGTATGTGTCTTTCTTGTTGATGCTGAATATTTTCTAGCTTTTTGTTAAGATGTAACTGACAATGTATATGTTTAAATAGAATGAGAAGCTTAGAAGAGACAAAAATTTGTACCAGACATTCAGTCCTGAAATGTGGGGATCATAAGCCCCAGCTAGGGAAGCTGAAAAAATTTACACCTCCGTGGCTAAATGACAATGAGAGACAGAACCAAGGGTCTTACCCAGGCTCTTAGGGCGCTTTACCCTGAGACACTGAATGTAAGACAAAGGAAGGCAGGAGCAGAGACGTCCTTCAGAGTGGGAATGAGACACCAAGGTTCTGAACTGACACAGGGGAGAGAAGAGAACAGAGAGAGCATACCTAAATGTAATACACACAGCTGGTACCTAAGACCTCTGGGCAAGCATCTCAGAACCTCTTTGAGCCAAAGGACCAGTTGGCCATGGAAGTCAGTAAGGAAGGGCTGAACAGAGGGCCCCGAGCCTGCAGTCTAGTAGGGAAAGACCCAGGTCTCAGAGACCCTCCCTTTCTGTAGGAGTCTTTGGCTTCACTGGGCAGTGGTGGCCCACACATTTAACCCCAGCACTCGGATGGCAGAGGTAGGTGGATATCTGTGAGTTCAAGGCCAGCCTGCTCTACAGAGTGAGGTCTAAGACAGGCTCCAAAGCCACACAGAGACCCTGTCTCGAAAAAAAAAAAAAAAAAAAAAAAAAAAAAAAAAAAAAAAGAGTCTTTGGGACAGCAATAACCAGACAGGAAAAGGGACAGTCTAGCCTGGGCTGTCACTGACCTTTCACCATCACCTGGCCCTGATCCCATCCTATGGGATAGCACATCACAGGAAGGGACTTTCAGAGAGCACAGCATTGCCTGGACATCCCATGCAGAGGAAAACAAAACTGGATCCGTATTACCTGAGGCCTGGCCCAAGAGGCTGGGACTTGGAGCAGAATGCTAGATGGAGTACTGCTCATGTTGGCCAGATGTGGAGAAAAGTGAGCCTAGTCTCCTGTGGGGGCTCAGGGCACGTGGGAATAAGAATTCCGCAGGACTACCTAGACAGCATCCTGTCTGGGTGTCTGATTATAACTCAGAAGCTGAGGGTGAAGATGAAAAGCCAGTTCAGTAGGGAGAAAAGAACCCAGGTTGCCACTTCCGTGTCTCCCATCATGCCCTCCTGGAACTTGTCAAACAGAAAAACTGCGTAAGACTGCCTCACTGCTTTATTGGGAGGGGAATACACTCGGACACGATACAAGGCCCTGAGCCCAGAAAGATCTCCAGCTCAAGATGCATCTGGCTGGCCGTAATTCGGTAGCGGCCCTTAATGAGACCCCGTGAAGTACAGGCATGACACCTCCAGTGAGCCTGGATGATTCGGACAGCCTTAAGCACCCGGAGGTAACGGCTTCGGATACGCCACATGCGGACCCAGGACTGCAACCTGACCGCGGCCCACTGCTCCTGCTGGAAGGTATCCAGTATCGACTGACGCCTCTTCTCCATAATCTTTGGCAGCATCAGCCGCCACCAGCACTGGATGACCCAGGCCCTGAGGGCCGCGTGCAGCAGCGCCCGACGTACCAGTGTGCCGCGCCACCAGGCTTGGATCTTTACAGCTGAGGAGGTCTTTTCAGAGAGCTCCTGGTTCTTTGGGGACTTGCAAGAAAAAGAGGATTCTTAATGAATTTGCTCATCCACCTCAGCACAAGGATATGCCGAGAAAGGCCTGATTCCCCGTCAATAATTGTTCCCCCACCCCCGGGGAAAGTCATAGCCTTGGTCAGGACACTGACTGGGAACCAGAAGATTGGGTCAGTGTCCAGTCGCTGTCACCTTCCGGCTTCAGCCCACTAGCAGCTCCCCTAGTTCCTTGAGTCTGTCTCTCCTGCCCTGGCATTCCAGCTTTCCCAAAGATCAGGTTAGCCGGCTCAGAGCAAACCCTGTGACTCATATACATATCAAGTGGTTATGTGCTGTGCAAGCCTGCCTCCTAACCAAGACCATGTCCCTTCCTGAGGACTTGGTGTTCTCTGATCAGTTGTCCCTCTCTTCCTTGACCTTACCCCAGTCTTTGACTTTCTCCTCCCTCTTATTGGATCTTCACATTGTTTTTCCCAACTCATATATTACAATCTCTCATCTTCTCTTTCTCATTCTCTATCCATCTCTTCCCACCCGCCCCTAGTGTGTGTGTGTGTGTGTGCTCAAGTGTGTGGGGGGGTGTGTGCGTGCATGCCCCTAGTGTGTGTGTGTGTGCTCAAGTGTGTGTGGGGGTGCGTGCGTGCATGCCTCTGTGTGTGTGTGTGTGTGCTCAAGTGTGTGTGGGGGGTGCATGCGTGCATGCCTCTGTGTGTGTGTGTGTGCTCAAGTGTATATGGGGGTGCGTGTGTGCATGCCCCTAGTGTGTGTGTGTGTGTGTGCTCAAGTGTGTGTGGGTGCATGCGTGCATGCCTCTGTGTGTGTGTGTGTGCTCAAGTGTGTATGGGGGTGCGTGTGTGCATGCCCCTAGTGTGTGTGTGTGTGTGTGTGTGCTCAAGTGTGTGTGGGGGTGTGTGCATGCCTCTGTGTGTGTGTGTGTGTGTGCTCAAGTGTATATGGGGGTGCGTGTGTGCATGCCCCTAGTGTGTGTGTGTGTGCTCAAGTGTGTGTGGGTGCATGCGTGCATGCCTCTGTGTGTGTGTGTGTGTGTGCTCAAGTGTGTGTGGGTGCATGCGTGCATGCCTCTGTGTGTGTGTGTGTGTGTGTGCTCAAGTGTGTGTGGGTGCATGCGTGCATGCCTCTGTGTGTGTGTGTGTGTGTGTGTGCTCAAGTGTGTGTGGGGGTGTGTGCATGCCTCTGTGTGTGTGTGTGTGTGTGCTCAAGTGTATATGGGGGTGCGTGTGTGCATGCCCCTAGTGTGTGTGTGTGTGTGTGTGCTCAAGTGTGTGTGGGGGTGTGTGCATGCCTCTGTGTGTGTGGGGGTGTGTGCTCAAGTGTATATGGGGGTGCGTGTGTGCATGCCCCTAGTGTGTGTGTGTGTGCTCAAGTGTGTGTGGGTGCATGCGTGCATGCCTCTGTGTGTGTGTGTGTGTGCTCAAGTGTGTGTGGGTGCATGTGTGCATGCCTCTGTGTGTGTGTGTGTGTGTGCTCAAGTGTGTGTGGGTGCATGCGTGCATGCCTCTGTGTGTGTGTGTGTGTGTGCTCAAGTGTGTGTGGGGGTGCGTGCGTGCATGCCCCTAGTGTGTGTGTGTGTGCTCAAGTGTGTGTGGGTGCATGCGTGCATGCCTCTGTGTGTGTGTGTGTGTGTGCTCAAGTGTGTGTGGTGTGTGTGGGGGTGCATGCATGCATGACCCTAGTGTGTGTGGGGGTGCTCAAGTGTGTGTGGGGGTGCGTGCATGCCTCTGTGTGTGTGTGTCTGCTCGTGTGTGTGGGTGCATGTGTGCATGCCTCTGTATGTGTGTGTGTGCTCAAGAGTGTGTGGGGGTACGTGTGTGCATGCCTCTGTGTGTGTGTGTGTGCTCAAGTGTGTGTGGGGGTGCGTGTGTGCATGCCTCTGTATGTGTGGGGGGGGTTGCATGTGTGCATGCCTCTGTGTGTGCTCAAGAGTGTGTGGGGGTACGTGCGTGCATGCCTCTGTGTGTGTGTGTGTGTGCTCAAGTGTGTGTGGGTGCATGCGTGCATGCCCCTAGTGTGTGTGTGTGTGCTCAAGTGCGTGTGTGCATGCCTCTGTGTGTGTGTGTGTGTGTGTTGAGACAAGGTCTCCATGACCTTTGCTGGCCTCGATCTCACTCTCCTATTCCTCCTAAGTGCTGGAATTAGTAGTGTGCCTCATCAGGCTGGTTTGTGTTCCTCGTGACTTTCACACTTTTCATTTTAATTGACAAGCAGACATATGTGCAGAAGCATAAACATGCACACACAATTCTTTTTTGTTTTGTTTTCGTTTGGGGTTTTTTTGGGGGGTGGGGGGAGTTGCTTTGTTTTGAGAAAAAGCTTCTCTGCTTAACAGCCCTGGACCAGGCTGGTCTACTCACAGAGATCCACTTTTCTCTGTCCCATAAGTGCTGGGATTAAAGGTCTGTGCCACCACACCCAGCCACCACACTCATAATTTTAAACCAACTTCTGTACACTTTAGCTATTCCATCCCACATTCCATCCCACAAACACGTCCCCAGACCAAACCCTTTGGTTTGAGAGGTCATAGTTTTCCTAATTTCACACTAACATTGTCTGCTTTCCATTTCTGAGCCAGCGTTTTAGGCTGAAAATGAAATGGGAACGTGGGGAAATTAGGGTAAATCATTTATTCCTGTGCTTAACTGGGTACCATGCAAAGAACAAGAGCCAGAGACCCCCAAGCCAACTCTCTTCATACCTTTGCCTTCCTTGTTTCTGAGGATAGAGGGATTGGCTGCTTCTCCTGACGGACTTTGTGAGTGGGTTCTTTAAGGTCTTCAGGCTTCAGCTCTGCCTCATCCTGTACTCAACGATTGGGAACATTAGGATGGGGCTGCCTGCTCTCCCTCACTGCACTGTACCCCACACATCCCTGGCTTCCAGAGCATCCCAGACTTTTTTCCATGTTTTCCAAGACAGGATTTCTCTGTGTAGCCCTGGCTGTCCTGGAACTCGCTCTGTAGACCAGGCTGTCCTCGAACTCAGAGACCCGCCTGCCTCCTGAGTGTTGGGATTAAAGGTGTGTGCCACCACTGTCAGGCTACTTCCTGGACTCATGAGTCATCAGAGGGGTTCCTCATCATGAGAGATTTACGAGGACATATATAACAAGCCTAATGGGTCTGCCCTCTCTTGCTTACCATTGTTCACACATGGATTGAGTGTAGATGGTTCAAATCCCCTCAGGTCTGTCCTGATCCAGCTCTCTGCATGAGCAGAGAGCATTAGAGGGTGATTCGTGATGTCACAAGGGCAGCTGTGACTCAGGCAGCAGTTGACTCCCTTCTAAAGAAAAGGCAGTGTCCATTTGCCTTTCTGCCATAAATGCCCAAAGCCCTGGCTTTGAAGCCAAATCACCAAAATCACTGGTCCATTGATATAAAGGTGTATAACGAACTGTTGGTAACACTTCATTTGCAATTTTGAATAATCATCAATGGAGGGTTTACTTAAATGAGTTATAATCTACTCATAACTTCAGATAAGATCGGGCACATTCAGGGAGGTATGGCAGTAAGTGGACTACTTATACCTTCAAATACAATATAAATATTAAAAAGTAGTGAGTTATAAATCAGACATTGTGGTCGGTGCCTATAATTCCAGTACTAATGAGGCTGAGGCAGGATTGCTTTGGGGTCAAAGCCAGCCTGAGCTAGTCTCAAAAAGTAAAAATGATGATCTGGTCTATACTACTAAGAGGCATTTGTAAATAAAGGAACTTCGATCCCTAAACGCTTTTGTGCAAACTGAGAGCATAAAGATACACTATCCGAACATAAATACAGGGAAGTGAGAGGCATTAACATAGACTGTTAGGGATGACAGAGATACTAGATGGATGACATATCCGACCTATCCACTCAGTGCCCAGAAGACCCCAAGACCCAGCCTGGGCTCCTCTCCTGCCCTTAGATATCGGGCAGGTGAACGGCAGCAGCTACTCAGGGGACCCTCTCTGCTGATCTCACCTCCCAAAGACCCATCTTGACAGCTTGAGGCCTGGAGTCCATTCAGGGTCACAGCCCCAGGAATCACTGAGAATGTATAGTTAGTATAGAATAGAGGAGTATACAGGAGGGAATCATGTGAGGCCAGAGCATCAGTGTGAAGTTAATGGGATGTAGGAAAGGCAGGAGGCAGGTTGTAGGTGCAGAGTGGCAGAGAGACGCATTAGCCTCCGCTTGGAAAGTATGATGCACAGGTGTTTGTGACAATTTTTTTTTAATCTCTCAATAAATTTTAAAAAGACCTTTAAGAGTAAATAGGAGTCTACTTGACAGTTCTTATGTCACTGAAGTTGCTACCCTTGGAAAGGACTATTGCAGCGTTTAGCCCTGAATTCCTGGCTTCCTACTGGGTGATGTAATCTCTCTTTCACATAAGCTCTCGCCATCTGCCACAAGAGCCTCAGCAGAGGTCAGTTGACAATGGCAAAGAACTACATTAACAGCAGAGAATCTCATTCTAAGAAAACCCTGAGATGGTTGTTAAGACATCCACAGGGGCGTGGTTCAGGGCAGAATATTTACCTGGTGTGGTGGTGTTCTGAGTGGGAATGGGAATCCCTGTTCTTGTAGAGAGAGAACCTGAGTTTGGTACTCAGCCCCCACATCGGCAATGCACTGCCTATCAACTCCAGCTCCAAGGGACCAGTGTCCTCTGCTGGCCTCCAACGGTACTACACCCAGAGGGCATCCACATACAGGCATACACATAAATAAAAAATATAGTAAAATATATGCAGCCAGGCAGTGGTGGTGCACCCTTTATCCCAGCACTCAGGAGGCAGGCACAGGTTAATTTCTGAGTTCAAGGCCAGCCTGTTCTACAAAACGAGTTCTTGAAAAAACAAAAACAAGATAGCTATGTATCTACATATGTCTATGTATATATTACATGCACTATTTCCAGAATAATTTGAAAAGGTATGAGCCCAGCTTTTATTTCTGAAAACATGTGGAGAGGACTTGAATGTCCTCTCAAGTTTGGAACTGTGTTGACAAAGCTTCGACTCTGGCGTCTGATCTTTGTAGGTTAATCTTCGGAAGAAAATGTTCTCCCGACACTGGCGAAGGCGCTAACCCTGACAAAGGTGACCACACAGCTCTGGAGTGAGGATTGGGAGAGCAGGTGGCATTAATCAATAGTGCTGAGGGGCTGCCACAGATAAAATGGCTTCCACGACACTAGCCAGCCCAGATCCTGGACCGTTGTTACCCACACGCTGGGTGGTCCTCCCCATCACTTTTCTCATCTCAATGTCACTTCTCAAAAAAGCCCCGGAGGGCCCCAGAGCATCTCTGCTACTCCTCCACTTCCCCAGTCTCCGCTCTCCCCCACTGCTGCACCCAGCACAAGAATGAACCACCCATGTGTAAAAGCAGGAAGTATTCCTTTGCTACATCTCTCCAGCAGGGTCCCTGCCTAGCTCGATCAGATGAAGACCTCTTCCCCAGTTCTGACCTTGCCCCTAAGCATGCTGGACTCCCACATCAGGAGCAATCTTGAATGGGCAGGGAAGTGGGGTCAGCCTGATTTGTAGGCCCTGCTATCCCATTTGGCCCTCGAACCCCAGCTAGCCCCAGCTAGCCCTTTCACGCAGAACCGAAAGCCAGTGTTTGTTGGCTGATGGACAGCAGACTCTGACTCATCCTGGAGTCTGGAAAACAGCTGACTGATGAGGTCATACAAGAGGCAGCTGAGGGTCCCACCCCACATTCCTCTGAAAAAAAAAAAAAAAAAAAAAAACCAAGTCTTTAGCTGAGAGCTTGCTATAGTCCTGTCCTTCCTCAGATCTATGCCAGCTCTTGGTCCCTGCCACACACACACACACACACACACACACACACACCCATACACACCTTACCCTCCCAGAAGCCAGACACACACACACACACACACACACACCCATACACACCTTACCCTTCCAGAAGCCAGACACACACACACACACACACACACACACACACACACCCATACACACCTTACCCTCCCAGAAGCCAGACACACACACACACACACCTTACCCTCCCAAAAGCCAGACACACAAACACACACACACCCATACACACCTTACCCTCCCAGAAGCCAGACACACACACACACACCCATACACACCTTACCCTCCCAGAAGCCAGATACACACACACACACACACACACACACACATACACACCTTACCCTCCCAGAAGCCAGATAAACACACACACACACACACACACACACACACACACCTCTTACCCTCCCAGAAAACAAAGCAACAAGGTCTAAAATAGGCTTTAATACAAAAGGGGGGCAGGGCCTGGAAAGCACTTAAATAAGGATGAGTGTCAGGAGCCAGCCACAGGGGGCGCAGGGAGTCTGCGCAGTGGGATGATGCAGACTGAGTTCCGAGCCTCTCTGATCCTCCACCATCGGCCAAGCCTGCGGGAATGAGGGTCCAGCTGAGGCAGACCCACACCACCCCCTCTCCTATTCCCATCTGGCCAGTGCCACCTTGCCCTCAGCCCCACCTCTCATCATATACCTGTGCTCCTGTCCCACTCCAGCCACCAGGAAATCCCCGGCACTGGAGAACTTGAGGCTGTTGATAAAACCAACCTGAGAGAGAGGGACACAGCAAGACATCAGAACATTCCTCACCACAGCTGCCCACATCAAGAGCCTGGCAAAAACCAGTCAAAGCCCTCCTGCCCTGGCTCCGAATAGGAGGCTGGGGCCATTCATTCCTTTCCCCCTGTGGCCTCAGCCTCCTATTCTGAGCCAGAAGTGGAGCACCAGCCTAGCGGGAGATGGATTAAGGAGACAGTACCTACCCATCAACTGTGTCAAGAGCTGCCTCGGACCTGTCTCCTGGCAGTGGGGTGTAAAAAACACCCCAGGACAGACATCCCAACCCAAGCTGTCACTAACACATCCTGCCACAATCCCACACGTCACCCCAATGTGGAGAATCTATTCCACACAACCCAGACCAGCTTCACAGACCCCACCCCGCTGCACATTTCCACCCTCGGCCCAGCTACTCTCAGCCTTGTACCTGGAAGCCAAGACAAGTCAGGGTGGAAGGGCAGGCGGGGACAGAGGAGAGAAAAGGAGTCCCTGCCAGTGTGTGACAGTAAGTGGCCTTGCTTGTGGGAAGAGCGAGAAAGAGCTCATTCCAGGTCCCCCGTAGTCTGGCATGCATTTACCACTTACCAGGGGGATGTCGAAAAGAGGGTCGAGCTGACGAAAGCCCTCTCCACACTGCCAAAGCCGCACGCAGGCATTGTGGGAGCCTTGGAGGGCAGAGGAGAGGGTCAGTGACTCCTATTCCAACTTGCCCTGTGTCCCCTCTCCCCCCACCTCACAGAGTCCCCTCACCTGTGGCCACAAGGTCTGTGTTGAGTAGGGCTGCCACCGACGAGACCCAGAAGGGCTGCTCCAGGCCTGGCTCCCCGTGCAGCCCATGAGCCTCACGCTGGAGGGCGAGTGGCCGTTTCTTGGAGAGACCCCACACAGCCACGGAGCTGGAGGTGAGGAAGATAAGTCTGAGTGAGGGGCCAGAGCAGGACAGAAGGCAAACCAGGGAGGTCCAAGCATATAGACCAGCTGAGGAGTGAGGACAGGGTCACTAATCCAAATGACCCCATGAGTTAAGTCCAGGCCTGCAGGCATGCTCATGGGCATTTTTTCTTTTTTAAGGTTTACTTATTTATTATGTATACAGTGTTCTGCCCACATGTATGCCTGCAAGCCAGAGGAGGGCACCAGATCTCACTCACTACAGATGGTTGTGAGCCACTATGTGGTTGCTGAGAATTGAACTCGGGTCCTCTAGAAAAGCAGCCAGTGCTCTCAACCTCTGAGCCATCTCTCCAGCCCCAGAAAGGTAACTCTTACCCATCGTCCGCACCGGACACCATGTGCTCCTCGTTGATTAGATGGATGCAGTCAATGGAACCCCTGGAGAGAGAGACTGTGAGGGACAAGGTCCAGCCCGCAGAGTCCCCACACACCACACCCGACTGCCTTACTGGTGGCCATAGAAGACAAGCTGGGATTCCTCTGGGATCTTCCACACACGCACAGTCCCATCCCGGCCCCCAGCTGTCACACAGCACTCTCGGCTCAGGGCATCCAATGCCGCCACGGCATCCTGGTGCCCGAAGCTGGAGGGAAGAACAGAGCGGGGGGGGGGGGGGGAGTCACGTGTGAACTCAGAACTACATGTGAACCCCTACCCGCATGCTGTCTGTCTGAGCACTTACAGAGTCTCCACGTATGAGTTATCCGCTACATTCCACACCTTCACAGAGCGGTCGTGGGAAGTGCTGTAGAGCTGGTGGGTACCTCTTCGGAAGGCCAGTCCCTAGAGTGAATGGGGAGGGGCAAAAGGGTCAGGACTAGAGCAAGGGAAACAAAGGGCAGGCCCAGAGAGGCTCTTCTGAAGCAAGTCACATGACACAGGAAGCCTGTTCCCCCAGAGCTCTGTGAGTACCGCAGTGTGTGGAGCCGGGAACATGCTTGCCTGTCCTCAAACAGCGGGACACTCCTCAGGCCCCTCCCTGGCCCCTGTATCAACTGGACCCGATGGCCTTCCTTCCCTCCCAATGTCTTCAGCACGCACGTCCTTCACACGCCACTCACTACCCAGAGAGGAGGTCCCCTGAAGATGAGCTGGGGCCCAGCACCAGGTGGGCCCACTCAGCAGGTGTCCACTAAATAAATACCCCCAGAGTCTCACCGATACTGCATCCCGGTGGCCTGTGAAGGTGTACAGGTGCTTGCAGCTCTGGGCCTCCCAAATTAGAATGAGCTTGCTACGGTCACCAGAGGCCTGTGGGAATGAGGGTAATAGCCACAAGCACACACTACACACCCAAACCACCACCCCCCCACCACCCCACCCCCGCCTACAGGACCAACCCAGTCTTACAAGGTACTTGCCATCAGAGGAGATGGCCATGCAGAGGATGTGGCTGCTGTGGCCTGAAGGCTGCCCCGGGGTCCCCTTCTTGGCTCGAGGAATCACATGCAGCTTCCGTCCACTCTCTACACTCCCTGATACCAGGAGAGGAAAGAGTTACTGGGATGGGGGATACTGCTGGCTGCTTGGCAACCTCCCTGACCCCGGTATGGAAGCAGCATGGACAAGGGATCGATCATGAAGGGAGCCCGGCACTTGAGTCAGAGGACCCAGTTCAGCTGCAATGAGCATCTGCACGAATCACTTCGGTCTCATCTGCCAAACGGGGGCACCAGTCCCCAGTGGCAGCCGTGACCCCCAAAGGAGGGAGAACGCAAGTGCCTTGGAGATTGAAGGTCCATGCTCAGTGGGGACCGCGTGCAATGTGCAGGGCCTGAATTCAATCCCCAGAACCCACTGGACCCCACGGGTTGTTCTCTGACATCTCTACATGTGAGCTGTGATGTGTGTGCACAGCACACACACATATACAATAAATAAAAGCATTACAAAAAAAAAAAAAAGAAAGAAAGAAAGAGGGGGCTGGAGAGATGGCTCAGCAGGTAAGAGCACTGGCTACTCTCCCAGAGGTCCTGAGTTCAATTCCCAGCACCCACGTGGCAGCTGACAACTGTCTGTAACTCCTGTTCTAGGAATCCAATACCTTCACATGGACATACATGTAGGCAAAGCACCAAAGTACATAAAATACAAAAAAAAAGAGGAGGAGGAAAAGGGAGGAGAGAGAGGGAGAGAGGGAGGAGAGAGGGAGGGAGGGAGGGAGGGAGGGGGAGGGAGGGGTAAGGTGCACTGGGACTACTGGCACGGTCCCTTCCTAGGATGAAGGTGGGAAGGTAAGAACTATGCTCGGGTGCGGAAGCCTGAAGGACTAAGATCCCATCCGGTCAGTGCGCAGCCTCAAACACCTTGTAGTCCAGCCGGCCTCAGTTCCTATGCTCGTGCACTGTGCAGAAAACTGAAGGGTCCTATTCAGTGTCCACCAGCACAACCGCCAACACAGCGTCCTGTCTTTGCCCCACGGAGCTCGGAGGCCTTACTGCTGGCTGGAGGCTTCCCCTGTCCCCACAAAGCCCCTTCCGGGGTGCACACCTGCCTCAGAAGCTCCATCATGGGGCTCCACACCACACACCCCCTCAAGGTCTCACTCACACTTAATGATGGTGCAGTCTTTGGCGGCGGAGAAGATGGCCAGGTCGTCGGGAGTGACAACCAAGCATGTGATCGGGAGCTGGTGGCCACGTAAAACTCGAATGTCGGTGGGAGCTGGGGCCTGGATCTGGGCAGACAGGGACTGGGTCACTCACTACAGCTGGAACCATGATGGCACTCCCCCACTGAGAACCATCCTTGCCCCTCCCTCCAGCCAGAAGGAAAACAGGACCCAAGGCTACAAGAATCAGACCCTTTCTTACCTAGCCATATCTGCCTGAGTGTGCACTGCATTTCACAGTGCAGCCTGAGTGGCCCGAAGCCATCTGCTTGCCAGCCCAGGTGAGTGCACTGACTCTGACCTTATACCAAGGTGCCCTGCACACTCACCTCCTTTGCCACCGACTTCTGTAACCTGCCTCTCTGCTCGAGCTACAAAGAGAGGGGGAAAGAGGGGTGAGGACCGGGGAGAAGGCCCAGCCTCCCACCACACTCACACCCTGCCCTCCATACTCACCACGTCCTCCTTCAAGCGTCCTGCCACCTGATCCTCCTCAAATTCACGAGCTTCGGCCTTCTCCTCCTCTGTACAGGACAGACCAGTCCATAGAATCCAAGGCTGAGATCCCCTTCCCTCCTCCCAACCCGTGCCTAGCCCTCTACCCCAGGCTGGGCCACGAGTGCCTAGCTTATAGGAAGCTCCCATGCCTCAGCAGAGGGAAGGGAAAGCTAGACAGTCCGTTCCTGACTTCATGTATCAGGCTGGCTTAGCTCCTCTCAGGTCTGATCTGTCCTAGCCACCCTCCACCAGGAAGCCAACATCAGCAGCACTTGCAGACAACCCACCAGATGGCTGGGGCTGCAACAGGGACAGCAGATAGGCTCTGGCAGAGACCCTGACCTGCATCTAGCCCCCCAGCTCACCTTGCTGCCTGAGCTGTTCAAGGTAGAGTTTGGCCAAGCGTAGCTTCTTCTCCTGTGCAGTCTCCTCTAGCTCCTCCTCCTCCTCTTCCTCTGTTTTCCTTGGAGCCAAGCTATGGGAAGAAGGGGCTGAGTCTAAGGGGCTGGCCCCATTCATCTGACCCCCCCCCAGCACTGGGCTTCCTCAATGCCAACCCGGCCCCTGCCAACCCCGTGGGCTAAGGACACATGTACAGAAAACCGAAGGATGTGGTGACTTGACCAACTGAAAGATCCCATTCAGTGTCCACCCAGCACAACATGAAAATGGCCAACTGCCCCCAAAATAGGCAAAAGATCTAGAGCAGACATTTCTCCAAAGACACACAATAAGCACACAAAATATATTTAACATCTTATATCTCAAAAGAGTTAAAACATACCAGATGTGGTAGTATGAGCCTTTAATCCCATCCCTCAGGAGGCAAAGGCAAATGGATCTCTGTAAATTTGAGGCCAGCTTGGTCTACACAGAGAGTCCCAGGACAGCAGGGCTACAAAATAAGTACCCACCTCAAAACCAAAACACCTCTCAGGAAAGTTATGACCAAGCCATGCCCCAGAGTCCTGACCTTCCTGAGTTTACCCAAACCAATCAGTTGGTTATTTAAGGGTCATCCAGGAAGCTAGGAAAGTGGCTGGGAGATGGGCTCAGCAGTACTGGCACTTGCTGCCAAATCTTATAAACTGGATTTAGCAATTCTGCCATTTTCTTTTTCTTTCTTTCTTTTCCCCCCCCCCCTTTTCTTTTCTTTTTGGTTTTCCAAGACATCATAGTTTCTCCATGTTGCCCTGGCTATCCTGGAACTTGCTCTGTAGACCAGGCTGGCCTCAAACTCAGAGTTCCATCTGCCTCTGCCTCCCAAATGGTAGGATTAAAGGTATGTGCCACCACATCCGGCACCATTTTTTGTTTAAAAAAAAAAAAATAGCTTTTGTAAGAAAAGGCATTTCAGCCCTGTTTTGTTTTTTTTTTTTTTTTTTTGCTTGTTTTGTTTTTCAAGTCAGGGTTTCTCTGTATTGCTTTGGAGCCTGTCCTGGAACTCTTTGAAACCAGGCTGGTCTCAAACTCACAGAGATCCACCTACCTCTGCCTCCCAGGTGCTGGGATTAAAGATGTGAGCCACCAACGCCCTGCACAGCCCTGAATTTTATGTTTATACATTTATTTTTATTTTTGCCCATGTTAGAGGATCAGTAAAAGAAAACTGAGTGATGCTTCTACAGTTAACATACTTCATAATACAACTTCTTAAAATACTTAAAAGTGGGCTGGAAAGAAGGCACATCAGTTAAGACTTCTCACCATTCTTGCAGAGAACCTGGGTTCAATCCCCAGCATCCACATTAGTGGCTCACAAGCACCTGTCACTGCAGTTCAGGGCATCTAATGCCCTCAGTCCTCCCTGAGCATCTATCTGCACACAGGTAGTACATACAAACTCATGTGTGTACACGGGTATACACACAAATAAAAACAAACAAAAGAAGAGTTTGGCAAAGGTTCTGGAGGCAGAAGCAGATGGAGGCAGAAGCAGGTTTGAGTCCAGCCTGATCTATATAGCTAGTTCCAGGAGAGCTACAAAGAAAGACCTTGTTTCAAAAGAGAACGTTTCTATGAGTAAGTCAAGGCAACACACATTCACTTTTACAAGCAGAATTGCTAGCCAGACCTGTAATCTCAGCACTCAGGGGGCAGAAACAGGTGGATCTAGGAGTTCAAGGCCAGCCTGCTGTACAGGGCCAGTTCTAGGACAAATGCTACACAGAGAAACCCTGATGTACAGGGAGGGGGACACAGGCTTGCTAAGTCCAGTTTATAAGATAGCAGGATTCCCTGGCCTGAGAACCTCCCTCCACCCCTAGGGAAGACACCCTGTGCCAATCCTTTGAAACATCATAGCCACCCCTATAACCTGCTGAAATAAGGGGAGTGTCCAAACTTCTCCCTCAATTATGTATGCACCCATCACCTGCCCTTCCAATCTTTTCTACCTTCCACCCCAGTATACTTCCACCTCAGATTTGTCTCTGATCCCTGAATGCTTTTCCTACCTCTCCATGACACTCTTCCTCATCTCTCCAAGCCCTATTTTGAAAAAGCTTCTCAGAACACATACCTGCAAAATACACACCTCTTTACAACACCCTCTCTCCACTTGGGGCCCACCTGTGTCCCCAACAGTGAAACAGTCCCTAATGTTAGAGTCAAGGGAAGGCTAGATATGTGTCAATAAACGCTGTGTCTTTAACTATTTAAGAAGCTAAAGCGTAGGCTCATTTGAGCGTAGGAGGCCAGGGCCACCTTGGGCAATACTCATCTCAAAAAGGAGTCCAAGGACACCAGTAATTGTGACACTGTCTGAAAATGGAATTAAGAAGCTGCAAATGTATTCTGCAACCTTCTCCCCTTGCTTCCCAATCCAGTCTTGTGCCAGCATCCTTGTCATGAAGCAAAAAAAAAAAAAAGGTCTCAAGTTCTCTCTCCCCGACAAGCATCCAGGGTCCTCCCCATATACACACCAGAGATAAAAGACATGTCACAGCCAGTTATCGGAGGAAATACCCACGATCTGTGAGCCAAAGGTAATCCGAGTTCTCACCCAGCTCTCTAACCGATCTCACTGCGTGAGCCTCAGTTTACCATTCCCCTCGATGAAAAAATGCTCACCTCTCGCTCTCAGAATCGCTGGAAATTTCTTCATTCATCTTGCCACCACCCTTGGATTTGCCTCTGTCCCGAGCAGAGTCGACCTGGAAATAATACGATCCTTTCTTGGTCAAGAGCCCGGGACTGAGAAAAGCAGTGGCCCCTGGCCCTGGTCAAGAGGGAGGCTTTCCAGGATTCAGTGGGTGGAAGAAAGAGGTCGAGGCTGGATCCAGATGGGGCCCTGAGCCAAGGGATGGGATCCCGGGATGGAATGATGGCTGTCCCAGTAGCGAGATCGGTGGCGCCCGAGGAAACGCCATGCTCACCTTTCGCCGCCGCTTGCCGGCCACCGCATCGGCCCCGGACCCGGGGGCCGGCTTTGCCCGCTTACGAGTTGCCATAGCGGTGGACATGCTCACCAAGCTGCTGCGGCGGCGGCTGCGGCTGCGGGAGAACTCACATGGCTGCTAAACCCGGCCGCATGGCAAGACCCCGAGCCCTGATAGGTCCCTGCGGCGCGGCGGGCCCCGCCTTCCGCAGCACCATTGGACCCCCCAGAAGACCCTGCCACTCCCCCAATCGTCCATTGGGCAGGCCAGTTGGCCACGCCCCTAAGAGCGCCTGTAAGCTCCCGCGCCAGGCTGGAGTAGGAAACAAGACTCTCTTCCTGTTTCCGGCCTGGGCCTGTGGCGCTTGCGCTCTACTGCCGCCCGACTTACTGGGAGGGGCGGGACCAGGACTTTCTTTGTGCTTGAGTCTCATGACCGCTTGGGGGAGCCAGAGGTATGGAGTTCTTCGTTCCCGAGAGTGATTTCTATTTTCCAGTCTGGGACCGCTACCAGGCTAACGTAGCCAGGCTCTAAAACACAGACACTGGAATCCAGGCAGCTCTGGAGAGAAGATGGTATCCAAACCCAGGGCCCATGCCACCGGGCAAATAGCGGATACATGCTGCATGCTACTAGTCAAAGCTCCATGAAGGGTGTGTCAGGCCCTGCGGTTTTGAAATGTGTCTAGATTAGTGTCCCCTCATCTGTGGGACTGGCCACCAACCTCGGCCTGTCCGTTCTCTGACTCACCCCACTATAAGCCAAATAACTGGAATTGTACACCACCCCTTACGATCTTTCCCCTGCTCTGGTGGTTGCTGGGAAATCCCTACCGTAATAAGACAAGCAGAAGGCTCCCAGAGGGTCACCAGGCAGGAGCCCAGACTTGGAACTTGCTTCTTGGAGGCGCAGTCAGCATTCCTGATACCAGTGTAGGACAGCCACCTCTTCCAGGGTCCTGTTTGTTTGGGGTGAGTGTCCTGGAATCCTCTGCAGGGCAGGGCAGGGCAGGGAAGTGTGTGTAAAAGTGGCTTCTTATCTCTGGCAGTTGAAGGCCACTTATCTGAAACCTTGGCTGGCACCCTGGAACTCCGGAGTGTTAGGAAGGGCTTCTAGACCTCAGTTCTAGAGAGGTAGATCTGGCTGCCTCTTAAAAGCTGCTTCTAGTGCCCTGCCCTCGCCCCCCACCCCACCCCAGACCCCCTCATCCCCACCCTTCGTAGGTCAGGTGATTCAACTCAGCAGCCTTACCAGATCCATGCTTAGTGACAGGAGGAGGAAATATTCGGAAAAGATGATGCCAACAAGTGGGAGGGGCTTGTGTTCTTTCACTTTTCCTATTAATCAGGGCACGGTGCTGGAGAGGATAAGGAACCAACTTCTTCCTAGCCCCGGGTGGGCTGACTGGACAGGCTCTAACCTTGGCACTTGCAGCTTGGGGAGGGGGCGAATGTGAGGTACAGAGTGCAGTTCTAGAAATGGGGATTTGTGTAGCAAGAATGAGGAGGAGGCCAGCCCCCTGAAAGGCAATCATGAACACTCCTACCCCTCACCCCAGGATAGCCATGGCTCCAAAACGCAAGTCTTCAGTGCAAACTGAGGGCTCCAAGAAGAGTCGGGAGGGGACAGGAGAGGAGAACAGTTTCCGATCCACCGCCGAGGCTCTCAGAGCAGCCCCTGCAGGTCAGCGCATCATCCGTGTGGACCCCGTATGTCCACTCAGCCGCAACCCCAGAACTCAGGTGAGCTGCACCCATGCTTAATCCACAACTTTCTGCTTGCGGGGGTTGGGGGGAGGGTTCTCTGTTCTAGCCTAGGAGTTCAAGGTCTCTAAGGAAGCCAGGGGCTGCTTACACGTCTTCTTAAGACCACCGACGTGGTCTGTATTCTGTGAGGTCGGTGAGTGTCATGTCTGACCATCAGACGCTATGGTGTTGCCTCTTGTGTCACACTCAAGGAAGGGGTCTGACTCACCTTCCCCAGGACTAACCAGTCTTCCCTCAGTCTCACCCCTCAGGGCAGACCCGGGTGTCTTTCAGTCGCGTCCCTTCCAAATTCCCAGTCGCACAGCAGGGCTTAGTCACATCCAGCCACACTGTGTCCCCAAGGGCAAAGCCATTATACCAAGTGCAAGAATAGGACCCTTTTTGCTGTCCCCTGGTTCCCACACCCAGTCCATGCCCAGCTGAGCTGCCTCCTGGCCTCACCCCACACAGGTCCACGAGGACTATGACTGTACCTTGAACCAGACCAACATCGGCAACAACAATAATAAGTTCTACATCATCCAGCTGCTGGAGGAGGACGGCCACTTCTTCTGCTGGAATCGCTGGGGCCGGGTGGTAAGTGACCCACCCATCGCCAGTGTGCCTCCACCCACTCCCCCGCCTCAGCACACACTTCCAGAGTCCCCAGCAGGCCGCTGTGGCCGACCGCCTCACTTCACCTTCAGCTGTTCGCAGGCAACCAGCCTAGCCCAGCCAGCAAACATTTCTGATGGGCACACCCCTGAAAGTTGTCACTTGCAGGGAGAGGAGGGCCAGGCCAAGATGAATCCCTTCACCTGCCTGGAAGAAGCAAAGAAGGACTTTGAGAAGAAATTTCGGGAGAAGACGAAAAACAAATGGGAGGAGCGGGGCCACTTTGTGGCTCATCCCAACAAGTACACGCTGATCGAAGTGCAGGGAGAAGCTGAGACCCAAGAGGCCGCAGTGAAGGTGAAGACTGGGGCAGTAGGGGACAGAGGGACAGAGGGACGAGGGACAGAGGGACGGGACTGCATACCTGGCAGTCTGCCCGCAGGCACTGGCCTCCCTCTCTGGCCCTGGCCTGGGCCCTTTCGAATGCCCTGCCCGGCTCCCTGTGTGGGCGCCTTGTCCTGCCAGCTGCTCCTGCCCATTCAGGCTTTTTCCTCCGCAGGTGGACGGAGGCCCAGTGAGGACTGTGGTTAAGCCCTGCTCGCTAGACCCTGCCACTCAGAAGCTCATCACCAACATCTTCAGCAAAGAGATGTTCAAGAACGCGATGACCCTCATGAACCTGGGTGAAGAGGGGCTCTGAGCAGAGTGGCAGGGCCCCGATATCAGGGGATACAGGGCTAAGACGATATCTCTTCATCACCCAGATGTGAAGAAGATGCCCTTGGGAAAGCTGAGCAAGCAGCAGATTGCACGGGGCTTTGATGCCTTGGAAGCTCTAGAGGAGGCCATAAAACACCCCACAGGTGGTGGCCAGAGCCTAGAGGAGCTGTCCTCCAGCTTCTACACCATCATCCCACACAGCTTCGGCCGCAGCCGGCCCCCGCCCATCAACTCCCCTGAGATTCTTCAGGCCAAGAAGGACATGCTGCTGGTGAGGGCTGGCAGGCCTCGAGGGTACCAGGCAGACTGGGCGGAGAGGAGAGGAGCAGATGGTCATGGGGCCCAGGTTGCAAGGGGCAGGCCGAGGGCCAAGAGAGGAGGAAGTCAGACAGAGATGGGGAGGGGACTGATGGGTGGGGTGTCTGTCACGTGGGGGGGGGGTAGAAGAGGAACTCCGCAGCTCCTGTGCCCATTATCTCAGGTGTTAGCAGACATCGAGCTGGCCCAGACCTTGCAGGCAGCCCCTGGGAAGGAGGAGAAATTGGAAGAAGTGCCACACCCACTGGACCGAGACTACCAGCTCCTCAGGTGCCAGCTTCAACTGCTGGACAGTGAGGGGCCCGAGTACAAGGTGAGCCCTGCCCGCCTGCCCTTGAGGTGCCTGGGGAGCCCTGGCTCTCAGCATTCTCTCCCTCGTGTCCGGACCTACGGAGGGCTTTGGAGAACCACAGGGAGATAGTCCCTGGGTCTCCCAGCCTTGGTCACCGGGCTCTGTTCTCCACAGGCAATTCAGACCTACCTGGAACAGACTAGCAACAACTACAGATGCCCTGCTCTACAACACGTTTGGAAAGTGAACAGAGAAGGGGAGGTGAGGGTATTCAGCCCCTATATCACCACCCTGTCCCTTGGGGGGTAATATTTACTTACTGCCTCTTGCTAAGCTGGCTCAGCAACTCTGACCAGTTTCCACAAGGCCAGCATCCTGTGGGGCCCTAGGCTTTGGTCACGCTATCCAAGAAGAGGGAGGGACGCGTGAACCTTCAGGTGGCATGGCATTACCATTTCCTACCTCTACCCCACTCAGAAAGACAGGTTCCAGGCCCACTCCAAACTGAGCAACCGGAGGCTGCTGTGGCATGGCACCAATGTGGCCGTGGTGGCTGCTATCCTCACCAGTGGGCTCCGAATCATGCCGCACTCTGGTGGCCGTGTTGGCAAGGGTATCTATTTTGCCTCAGAGAACAGCAAGTCAGCTGGCTATGGTGAGGTGCCCCTGGGTCATGACCTGGGTTGGGGTGGAGGCACCAAGATGGACTGGGCCCCGTGCTGGGTGATGAATCCTAAAAGTATCACTAACCAGAGCACATGGTGAGGTCCCTAGGGCTCAAGGACAGAGAAGTGCCTGGCAGTCGGGGACATGTCATTGGGGAAGAGGGGAGGCAGAAAGGACTCTGAGCAGGAGAGGGGAGAAAGCTGTGTGGGTCAGGCCTTGCCAGCGTCTTCTGTGTGGAGGGAGAGGCAGGGACATGGGACCAGAAAGTCACAGAGGTGGATGCACACACTGCAGAATCTTAGTGTCTGCAGCAATGGAGAGAGGATGGCGGAGGAATGGAGGGTGGGCTCTCTCTCTCTCTCTCTCTCTCTCTCTCTCTCTCTCTCTCTCTCCCTACCCCCACCCCTAGGCCCTGGCCCCAGGGCTACAGAAATGATTTGAGAGACTCCATGAGCAGGGTGTGTGAGGCAGAAGTATGGTAGCATGTGGCATCTCCAGTGGCTTCCAAACTCATGGTCAGGGTGTCCTCACTTTAGGGACTGAGCACATTGGAAGCCGCTGTCACCCGCCAGTCCAGGAAAGCAAGGTTTTAACCAAGAACAAATGGGCTGAAGTTCTCGGTGGACAAAGAAGCCCACCAAGAGGACAGAGGACCCCAAGAAAGCCTGGCTGTGGTTGGGGGGGGTTGCTCAGAAGACCTAGCAAGAGTCCATAAGGAATGCCAATGACAAAGCAGCAAACAAAGCTCACCAGGGAGAGGTGCCCCTCCCTTCCCAGCCTCCAGGCTGGGACACCTTCACTGATTCTTTAGCTGAGAGCCTGTGGGAGGTGGGGGAAGGGGGGGGGAAGGGAAGCGGGAGAGAGCAGGCCAGGATGAGGGATGCTGGCAGACAGCAAGTGCTTCTCCCCAGACTGCAAAACTGGTGGAGACCATATTGTCACTGCAGGAGGGAGTTGAGCAGGGGTCTGAACTGCTTCCTCCTGCCACTGAGCCTCTGTGTCCTCTAGTTACTGCCATGCGTTGTGGGGAGCACCAGGTAGGCTACATGTTCCTGGGCGAGGTGGCCCTGGGCAAAGAGCACCACATCACCATCGATGACCCCAGCTTGAAGAGTCCACCCCCTGGTTTTGATAGTGTCATCGCCCGAGGTCAAACAGAACCTGGTGAGCCCCAGATACCTGGCAGGTCTGTAGATAAAAGTGGGGTTGACATAAGGGACTGGGGGCATTTTCAGAAAGAAGACTACTCGGGGAGTAGAGTACACAAAAGCATGCAGTCTTCCTGGAAGGGCTGATTGTCTGTGTCGTCCAACAAACACCCACCGAGTCAACAAATCCCTCCAGGGTGTCTAAGAGGGATGGAAAAATATCATGCCGTTTGCTGGGGCTTTCCCCGGGGGGGGGGGGCAGCGGGCGTGGGGTGGGGAGATAAGGTGGCATTCCCCACAGCAAGTGTCAAGTCACTGGGAGCAAGACGTAGGTAGCACTGGGCACCAGTGAGCCCTTGATTCTCCATGCCTTACAGATCCCACCCACGACATTACACTAGAACTGGATGGGCAGCAGGTAGTGGTGCCTCAAGGCCGACCTGTGCCATGCCCATCGTTCAAAAGTTCCTGCTTCAGCCAGAGTGAGTACCTCATATACAAGGAGAGCCAGTGCCACCTGCGCTACCTGCTGGAGATTCACCTCTGAACTGCTTGCCCTCCCCAAGGTCCTGCTAGCCGGGGCCATGGTCTTAATCTTCATGCTCCTCTCTCTGGCTTCCATACTTCCATTGGCTTCTCAAGAATATAATGCATGCCAGGCACACTGGCACACACCTATAGCCTTATCTACTCAGGAGCCAGAGCCAAGAAAAGCACTACCCTGGGACTTGGAGACCAGCTTGCGTTACATAGTAAGACAAGTATAAAGAAGTGACAATCTGAGGCAAAGCCAATTAACAATGTCCCGAAGCAGGCAATGGTGATTCATGCCTGCAATCCCAGTACTTGGGAGGCTGAGGCAGGGGAATCACTGTAGATCCAAGATCAGCCTGGGCTAAACAGTGAATTCCAGGCTAGCCTGAGCTACAGAGTGTGACCCTGCCTCAAAAATACGAAAGGCAATGTTCTGGTCAGTGATGGGCTGCACATACTAAGATTGGATAACCTAATGACGCTGTTGTCATCTCAGTCTGTGTAAACAGGCTACACACAACAACAAAATCACCTAGTGGCACATTTGCATCACCGGGATGAAATAAAGATGACTGTGCACCGTCATTATCTATAGTCACTATGCTGTGTAATAGATTCTTGAGCCCATCTCTCCTGTCTGACTGAATTCTGTATACACTTCTTTCTAAGCCCCTTTGTTCTTTACAAGTTCAATTTTTATACAATTTATTTATTTTTATTTTATGTGCATTGGTGTTTTGCCTGCATACATGTCCACGTGAGGGGGTCAGATTCCCTGGAACAGGTCTTCCAGACAACAGTGAGCCGCCATGTGGGTGCTGGGAATTGAACTCTAGTCCTCTGGAAGAGTCACCAGTGCCCTTAAATGCTGAGCCATCTCTCCAGCCCAAGTTCAACGTTATTAAGCTCCACATAACAAGAGACATCTTGTGGTATTTATCTTTCTGCACCTGGCTATTGTAACATAGTACATAGCATAATGTAACATAATGTCCTGCGTGTTCTCTCATGCTGGATCAAACACCAGCATTTTCTTCTCTTTTTTTAAGGCTGAATAGTATTCTGCTATATGTTCACAGCACAGTTTCTTTGCCTATTCACTCATCACGGGATACTCAGGGTGATTTGTATCTTGGCTATTGTGAACAATGCTGGGGGGGGGGGGAATCAACCTACTGGTCATTTCCTTTGGAGTAGTGAGATTACTGGATCCATCTCTCCTCTTCTTGCCAGCCGCCCCCCCCATCTCAAAGGGTGATTCCTAGTACCATGACTGTGGCCCGAGAACCTTGCCTCCTACAGGGATATTTAAAGGGGCACAGGCTAAAATGGGTTGGATCCCATCCCTAACCTGAGTTCATGCACTCTGCCAACTGAGTTACATCTCCAGCCAATTTGGGGGTTTTCTTATGTTTTATTATTGTTTTGTGGTCGGGGACTGAACAGGGCCTTGGGCACATTAAGGGAAGTGTTATAACACTGAGCTACATTGCAGCCTCTCAGGCATGTTCAGCATGAGCAGCTAGCTTCAGCTTGTTCTATGGAACAGTGGCCACAGGCTTCCATTCTCTCCATGGTGGTCCTACACATGGCAGCTCCAACTCAACACCAAGAAGTGTGTGCTCACCTGAGCCACACCCACTCCTACCGGTAGCACCTATCTCTTTTAGTACCTGAGCATCCAAAGAGGAGCCTCACCACCAACTCAGAAACGGCCATTTGGAAACCCACCTGATTCTGTGTCCTTAGCTTAAACACTGTCATGTAACCCAAGCATCCCTGTGTGTCTCACATCTGGACATTATAAACGAGCTGAGTCTGGTTCAGAGGGGCACAGCTTAGCATTCCTCAAAGATTGACGGCTGCCATCTGGATATCTCTGTCCTAGCCTGGAGTTCAAGTACCAGAAAGCAAGGTCAGGGTCCTGTCTATGGAGTGCATGTTACTTTCTGTCACATCTCTTTTAATTGGGAAAATATTCCTCAACCATTTTTCCTTTCATAACTTTAACCAGTGTGAAGTTTGGCAACTTGAGTTTGATCCCCAGAACCCACATAAAGGTGGATCGCTTCCACAGGCATGCCACCACCCCAACCCCCCCCAACAATAATAATAATAAAATAAAATGGAAGGCCTTCCTGACCCTCTCCTCGATCCCACTCATCTGCTGGAGTGTGCCCACTGCATTCATTCAGCTTTGGATTGTCGTACTTGCCTTCCTCTGCAGATTCACACAGGCTTATACACTCACTACAAAGAATTCTATGTCTTTTTTAAATACAGGGTCTCACTTTGTAGCCATTATGTAGATCAGGCAGGCCTTGAACTCACAGAGATCTCCTGCCTCTGCCTCCTGAGTGCTGGGATTAAAGGCATGTGTCATCATGCCTGACACCTAATTTTTTTTTCATCAAGTACAGTGATTTGGGAGGGAGAATGTACTCACCAACCCACCACAGTCCACACCCTTTCACTGTCCTCTCTAGACTCCTTTCCTCGTTTGCTGGTCTCATGGACCCTGCTGAGCTCTGCCTGGGCTGTGGAGGTCCAAGAGGTTGCCCCACACTTGCAGGCCTGGCAGGGCAGAGAGCAGAGGAGTGAGAAGTTGGCTTTTCCCCACCCTCTGAATGAAAACCTCAAAGACTGGACTTCACTCCCTAGGGGCAAGCGCCACCTACAAGCTGTGTCTGAGTATGGAAGAGTACGGAAAGGGATGTCAGTGTGGAGCCAGCTCTAGGAAGCAGGTGACCAGAGCCCCAGCTGGATGCTTTGAGCACATGCCTCCCCTCTCTGGGCCCCCGCCCTCCTCATCTGAGTGATGGAAAATTTGACCTATCAATTCCATCATGGGATGAGTCACAGCGAGAGGCTGGAGCCTGATTTCTAGAGCTGAAGTGATGCTGACCTTGTTCTTATGACGACCTTGGAGGCATCGGTCCAAGCAAGAGGCAGACAAGAGCCCAGAGCTTCCATCCCAGTAAAAGGGGAGGCTCCAAATAACCATGTACATATATATGGAGCAGAGTATCAGGAAAGTGCCTGCAAAAGCACTAAAGCAGGGTAAAAGGATAATGCAAGCCCAAGCTGGAGTGCTTTTAGAAGAGACTGTGAAGGCTGCTCTTGTGAGCAGAAAACCAAAGTAAATAGATGACAGAACAAAAAAAATTGACAAGGGGAGCTGGAGAGATGGATTAGTGGTTAAAAGAACTGGCTGCTTTTCCAGAGGACCTGGGTTCAATTCCCTACACCCACATGGCTGCTCACAATTATCTGTAACTCCAGTCCCAGGGGATCTGACACCCTCACAGCAATGCACATGAAATAAAATTAAATAATTTTTTTTTTAAGAGTTAGACCTGGCAGCATATCCCTTGGATCCCAGCACTCAGGGGATGAATGCAATAGGACTAGAAACTTAAGGTCATCCTTAGCACATCAGGCCAGCCTAGACTATCTTAGATGCTGCCTCAAAAATAATAAACACACAAATAAACCATAAAAAAAGGCAAGAAGTGGGATGTGGGCAAGGAGAGGGGACAGCAACACAAAGATCCCGGAGAGCAGTTTGCCAGGTGAGCGCAAACAGCAAATGACTACTGTGCCTGGGAGCGTGATGGGCAAGGAGGAGGAGAGGTGGTGGGAAGTGAGCAGAAGACAGCTAGCCAAGGCCACCTCTATACAGTGGAGCTCAGATTGGTGATGGATAGCTCGGGGGGGGGGGGAACAGGTTTCATGATGCCACCTGATTTATTTTGTTTAAAGATTTATTTATTAACTATACAGTGTTCTGCCTGCATGCCAGAAAGGGGCACCAGATCTCATTATGATTGTTTGTGGGCCACCATGTGATTGCTGGGAATTGAACTCAGGACCTCTGGAAGAGCAGCCAGTGCTCTTAGTTTCTGAGCCATCTCTCCAGCCCCTGATTTATTTTTTAAGAGTCCCTTTTAAGACAGTGCTAAGAGTGGACTGTCGCGAACAAGTTGGAACAATCTAGTCAGCAAGATAGGAATTACATTAGATAACGGAAGACTCCAGGAACTAGATATAGAGAAAGAACAGAAACTATCAAACAGGAAAGGAGGTGGTGAGGCAACCCAGAGGTGAGCGACAGCAAGGAAGCCATCGCCACCCACCGCCTGGAGGCTGGAGGGATAAAGGGAGGAGACGGTGATGGGGCCAGGTTCGTACTGCAAGAACAAGACCAAAGGAGAGGCTCCATGAGTGAAGTCAGAGGTACAGGGTGAAAAGGTGTCTTCCACAGAGGCTGCAGAGGCCCAGGCTAAGCACCTGGCTTCCTGCTACCACCCACTCTCCAGTTTTCTGCTGAGTTAACTTCCATGTCCTGAATATTCCTCCAGAGAAGACTGGGAAGGAACCTAAGGGCAAATCAGATAAGCAGCCTGAGATGCAGGAGCAAAGGCGGAAGGCGGGCCAGTTAGGAGGGAGCTCTGGTGCTCTGATGGGCAGCAGCAGGAATGGCAGGGAGGAGACGGTGGTAAGAAATAAGTGGATTCCCAGGATCTTGATGGATTAGATTGGGTGGAGCAGAATAGAAAGCTAGAAAGATAGGAAGTTCTATCATGACAAGCAATTTGCCAAGAAGATTTTGCAAGGGGCCAGTTGGGGAACAGTCAAGAGTCCTGGTTCTGTTCAGGACACAAGATGTCTGAGATCCTCATTAATCAAAGTCCTAGGGAGACTCAAGTTTGGGTCAAGGGAGAAGGCATTTCAGACACCTAATAGGTGTCTAGGTAGGTTTTTGCCACGGGGCTGGGTGATTGTAACCTGAGCATGTGCCCCTGGAGTTGCAGGGCTTTCCTAGAGCCTTCTATGGGGTGAAGGGGGGCGGGGCTGGGGGAGGGTTGTGTGTGCTATGAACGCTACATACTGACTGGCCAGGACTGAGGGTTTTGTGTTCGTTTGATTTGTTTGTTTTTCGCGGCAAGATTTCTCTGTGAAACAGCCCAGGCTGTCCTGGAACTTGCTTTGTAGACCAGGCTGACCTCGAACTCACAGGGATCTCCCTGCCTCTGCCTCCCCAAGTGCTATTAAAGGCAAGGCGTGCACCACCACCACTGGCTGGACTGAGTTTTATGTGGAGACCTTGTTTATTCAAGCTGCATTCTGAGCCTGGGAAGGTATAGTTTCCCAGTGCTTAGGCAGGGCGCTTTCTAGAAGAGAGCTGTTGCCAGCATGAAAGTACAAGACCAACCAAGCATCCTATCCGTTTCCAGCTAAGGCCTCCTCACATTTACTCCACAAGGTGAGGTGCCAAGGTAACACTGGCTGAGCACCCACTCTGTGCCATTAAAAGTTTTCCCAACAGATTCCTCGAGAAAAGCACTGCCTAACCTAACTATCCCCACGGTCCCTCAGTCCATCCGTGCCCCATGTCACACGCGCAAGGCAGGGAAGGGTCTAGGCTCAGTAAGCTGTACCCTTGGCAGTTTCACAGAAGAGCCTCTAGTCTCCAGCTGGCAGCTGCTAGGACCAGGGGGCTGGCACGGGGCCCTACCCCTCCCTTACTAGCTGCGTGTGTCTCCAAAGGGCAGCATCAGAGTGACAGTCAGTACCATCTCCACAGAGGCTGTGTTGCTGGAGCTGGGCTAGGGCAGGGGGAGAAAGCCGAGCCAGCCAGGCTCAGCCTTGCATCCATCCATTGGGCCCACCAAACCCCAGAAGAAGATGGCAGCCTGGGCGTCGGAGTCACCTCCTGGGCAGCCTACGAGGTGAGGGGCCCTGAAGAGCATGGGACAGGTTATGGGAATCCTGGAGCTGGAGGCTCCATTTCTCTCTCCCCATAGCAGCCCCAGAGAAGCCTGAACGCTCAGATAGATGGCTAACCACACGGGGATAAGCGCCACCGAACTCGCGGGCTCGGTGGGGTTGATCCTGGCGGTTCTCGTAGAGGTGGGGGCCGTGCTGGGCAACGGCACGCTGCTCGTGGTGGTGCTGCGCACGCCCGGGCTGCAAGATGCCTTCTATCTGGCGCACCTGTGCGTTGTGGACCTGCTGGCAGCCGCCTCCATCATGCCCATGGGCCTGCTGGCCGGGCCGCCGGGGCTGGGTAGTGTGCCCCTGGACCCCTCATCGTGCCGGGCGGCACGCTTCCTCTCGGCGGCTCTGCTCCCCGCCTGCACTCTCGGCGTGGCCGCGCTCGGCCTGGCGCGCTACCGTCTCATAGTGCATCCTCTGCGGCCAGGCGCGCGCCCGGCGCCGGCGCTGGTGCTCACCGCGGTGTGGGCGGCGGCAGCGCTCCTGGGTGCGCTCTCCTTACTCGGGCCACCGCCCGCGCCACCTCCGGCTCCGGCTCGCTGTTCCGTTCTGGCCGGGGGGCTCGGACCCTTCCGGCCGCTCTGGGCGCTGTTGGCCTTCGCGCTGCCCGCCCTCCTGCTGCTGGCCGCCTACGGTAGCATCTTCCTGGTGGCGCGGCGCGCCGCTCTCCGGCCCCCACGAGGGACCCGGCTCCGCTCCGACTCTCTGGACAGCCGCCTCTCCTTCTTGCCATCCCTCCGGCCACGTCTACCCGGGGGCAAGGCGGCCCTGGCCCCAGCCCTGGCCGTGGGCCAGTTTGCAGCCTGCTGGCTGCCTTATGGCTGCGCGTGCTTGGCGCCTGCGGCGCGCGCTGCAGCAGCCGAGGCGGCTGTCACCTGGGTAGCCTACTCCGCCTTTGCGGCTCACCCCTTCCTCTATGGCCTGCTGCAGCGCCCGGTGCGCTTGGCGCTGGGCCGCCTCACTCGCCAGGCACTGCCTCGGCTCCCTAAAGTCTGCATGCAGCAGGCCTGGAACCCACGGACACTCCTTCAGCGCCTCCAGAGACTTCACAAGGACCCTGCCCTAGGCCCTTCCGAGGGACCAGAACAGACCCCAGAATTGGCAGGACAGAGCTCGAATGTGTCAAGAGGCCACCTGAGAGATTTCTCCTGAGCTGGAGAAAGGAAGGTGGGATCAGAGGGGCACATCTAGCCCCCTGCTAGGTTTGGCAGGTACTCTGCCCCGACACCCGGCTCTGAAACGGGAGAGGATGGTGCTTAGTAAGAACCTGATTCTGAGCCCAATACTACCAGTGTTCCTTTCCTGGGGCCTCAGTTTCCCCATCTGTACCCTGGACCATCTCCTAAGGACCCCTCCAGTGTAGGTTTTTTTTTAAATTTATGGATATTCCCTGACCCAGAAGGGAGAAAAGCAGGCCTGGTCACAGACAACAAGGTCTTACGAGCTCACAGCCAAAGGATGAGCGAAGCTGGGCAGGGTCTCGGTTACAGCCACAGCGGGAGGAACCAGTGGAGAGACATTCATCTGTGCCATGGAAAAGCTGGACAGTTCGACTCAAACTCGTTACGCAGACAGCTAAGTAAACAGCCCAAGAGGGCTGAAGAGATGGCTCAGCCGTTAAGAGCACTGGCTGATCTTCCAGAGGTCCTGAGTTCAATTCCCAGCAACCACATGGTGGTGGCTCACGACCACCTATAGAGAGATGTAATGCCCTCTTCTGGCATAAAGGTATACATGCATATGGCATTCATGCATAAAATAAATAAATCTTAAAAAGAAAGAAAACTGCCCGTTGGTTTGGTGCTAAAGGCAGGGGACCCTGAGAGGGCCCTGCACTTTCATCTGACGTGTGGGAGGGGCTGCGATCAATGGGGCTGGGGGGCTTGGGTTCTTCAGGGTTTCAGCTATACCCCTTCCCTGGAAGTTTTGTCACCCCAACACCAGTATTTCACGTCTTTCTGGTCGCTGAGAATATTTATTCAAAAACGGGGATTGAAAAAACTGTACAGAGAATCTGCTGCTGAGAACTGGGCCCCTGCCCCAGGCCACTCCCCCACTACGGGCAGAGCCCTGTTTGGGTTGCCCCCTGACAAGCCCAGCCAGTCTATTCCAGTCAAAAGGGTCTCAGTGGAAGCAGCAGGATCTGCAGGGGATGAAGAGAAGCTTGGCCCCAGCCACCCCTCACTCTCCTCCAATTCCCACTGGGGCAGTAGGCGGAAAGCCCAAAGGGGAGGAGGACATGAGTGGCCTCCCATGGCAGGGCACTAGGGAGACCCTGGCCATTCCTGGCATCCAAGCATAGGTCTGAAGGGGTGGAGCCCCTGCTCTGGGGCTGCCATAGCTCCTAGAACCCTGGGCCAGAACTGTCCCCTCTCTGAGGAGGAACTCCAAAGACCGGGCAGGGTAGGGGATGCATCCATGCGTCTGGCATTACTGGCGCTTGAGACCCCATTGGGGTGGAGTCTCCTTGGGCAGGAAGGATGTGGAGGCAGCCCCTGCCGGCGGTCCTGCCTGCCCCTGCCTGGGCCTCAGCTGGCCTCAGTAGGGGGAGAATTTCTGCCGTTCAGCTTTCTTGCTCCCATTGGCCGCTGCCATCTTGGCAGTGTAGGCCGCCAAGCCCGGCGGTGGCCCTGGGGAAGCAGGTGGTAGAGCCAAGAAGGGCACAGGCTTGAGGCCGATGAAGTTGGAGAGGGAGATGGCATAAGGTGTGCCCAGCAGGCCTGGGGGAGCTGTGGGCAGAGCCGTCAGGGGTGGCGAGAAAGGGGTGGGCAGGTCTGCGGGGGCTGAGCCAGGTGTCCCCCCAGAGGTAGACTTGGCCGTCTCTAGACTGGAGAGAGGGACACAGAGGGGAGGTGAAGGGAAAGGTGGGGGGGGGGGGAGACAGGGGCCATGAGGTTAGCCAAAAGATAGGAGAGGAGTAGGTCGGAGAACAACGGCACGGGCGGGTGTGTTTTGGGGGAGGATAGGAAAAGTACAAAGGTATGGAGGGCAGAAAACACAAGCAGATATAACCTGGGTTAAGAGGAAAAACAGGAAAGGCCAACAGCAGAGAGATAGGTCACGAGGGCCAGAGACAAGAGGAATAAATGAGGCAACATAAGTGGCTTAGGCAGAGTGCCACAGGGAAAGGAGAGGGAGGCAGACTGCCACAGGGAAAGGAGAGGGGCTGAGGAGCAGCAGGGGGCTGGTCCCCACCTGTGTTCACCCACAGCCCACCACCCCATGCTCACCAGGCAGTGATGAGGTACTGAGCCAGGGCGATGGAGACCGGTGAGCCAGTGATGGTCACATGCCGCTCGCCAGCACCCTCTGCTTGGTTTCCAATCTTAATATGTGCCCCTGACATCTGCCGGATCTCGCTGATCTTGCTGCCCTGGCGTCCGATCACACAGCCAATCAGCTAGGGGGAAGGCAGAATTTAACCCTGAGCAAGGTCTAGGCGCCTGGACCCCTTTGCCACCCTCTAGCCCCCACCTTCTGCTCACATCATTGGGAACCAGGAACTCCTGCGAGCTGGTCTGTGTGCTGGGATCCAGTCCTGGCAGAAGAAAAGGACTGAACGTGGCTTGTTCTTGTTTCCTATGGGCCTCCCATGTCCACTGCAAGGGGTGCACAGCCCCTCCCGCCTCCCTCCTCCCGTCTCCCATCTCCTGCCTCCCATCTCTCACCTCCAGCCTCCCACCTCCCGGCTCCTGCCTCCAATAGTCTCCTGTCTCCAGTAGTGTCCTGTCTCCCGCCTCCCATCTCCAGCCTCCAGTCTCCCACCTCCAAGTCTCCTGCCTCCCATCTCCCTCCTCCTGGCTCCTGCCTCCTGCCTCCCTGTCTCCCACCTCCCGGCTCCTGCCTCCAGTCTCCCACCTCCAGTAGTCTCCTGTCTCCTTTAGTGGGAAGTGCTTACCTGGCACCACACTGGGCGAGGCAAAGGGAACTGCATGGCCTGAGAGCTGCTGGAGCTTGGTGACCTGGGCCAGAGAAGAGGGTCAGAGGTTAGAGGGGGCAATTCAGAAAGGGGTGTCTCAGGCTGTGGGTCACTCACCTCCGCAGGGGCCACTGCTCCATACTGACCCTGGACAGAGAAACCCTGTAGGGACAAAGTGGTTGAAAAAGGAGCTGCTGTGACAGGTTGGGACAGTTTGGCCAGCTCCCTGTACCCTCCTCAGACCTCCCAATTCTCTATTCCACTCCATCTTCCACCTTGATCCCCCTTCTCCAGTAAGGCTTCTAGCCCTCCTGATGGTTCCCTCACCTGGTTGGCGGAGAGAAGGACAGTACCTAGGGAGAGGCTTGGATGATATGGGATAGTAGCTCCTTTGGGTGGGGACTGGAAGGCACAAATGGAGAAGCTTTGTCAAGATCAGGCCTTCCCAAGAACCCAATGGCCTTAAGGCATCCCCATGGCTCCCATGGAAAGGTATCCCAGAGTGCCCCAAGCTTATAATCAGTCCATGGCTATAGCTCTGCCTGCCCCAAGCCACCTGATGTTACAGCCATAAGACCTGGATGCTAACAAGCAACTGGGGCCCTCTCCTGCCCTTCCCCCAACCCCCCACCCCACCCCAGGAAGCACCTCCAGAATAACAGCACAGATCTGGCGCACACACAGGATGATGGCATCAGGTACCCCAGACACAGTGACAGCACGTTCTGTAGAATTGGGGAGCAGGTCTCCTGCCACCTGCACCTGGGCTCCCGTAGTCTACAATTAGAAAACAGGACCCGCTTCTGTGGACTCCAATAGTCAGGAGAACCTCCAGAGCTCTAGTCCCCTCTTCCATTGGTGGGTAGAAGACATACGGCCATGGGTAGCACACCCATGGGTGCTCTCTCTCTCTCTGCTCACCTCTCGGATCTCCTTGATTTTGGTGCCCGCCTTCCCAATCAGTGATCCACACTGGCTGGCAGGGATGACAAGGCGCAAGGTCACAGGAGGCCGGGAGACACTGCTACCGTTTGCAGGAGCAGCACAAAGGTCCTGGGGCAGAGCGACGAAGAGTCAGCCATGTTTGCCCCTCCCCTACTACTACTGAACAGGGATAAGGAGAGTACTTCCTCCCTAGACCTCCTCCAAGCGAACACGGCCTTGGACTTGACCTTCCCTCCCCCATAGCCACTATCTGGAGACAGGGTCGGGTTTCTCACAGGCAGCCACCCTCAGACTCCCACCCCGTTAGGCACGAACCTCATCCAGCTTGAAGGCAATCATGGAGACTGCATGGAAAACCGCAGCTGTAGACCCAGTGATGGTGGTGATCCGCTCAGGGCAGGAACCCTCCGAGATGGTTATCCTGGCACTGCTCTGCAGGTGTGAGACAGGCCCCGGGCAGCAGGCATCTTCCCCGCTGTGATGGCAGGGATCTGTCTACCTGCCCTGCTCACTAGGCCCCAGCCAATATCAGAGACTGGCATTCTTCTGGGCACTCAGTTATCCCAGGTGTAGTGACTCAGCGGAAAGGATGGCCCTCCTCCCTCCCCTCAACATCAGGACCCTGGGCTCCTCCCCTGACACCATCTTTACCTGCTCCCGGATTCGCTTTACAGTCTCTCCCTTCTGTGGGAGACAAAACCAAGATTCTTAAGTGGTCACCTCTTAACCAGGGCTGAGATTCAAGTTGAGAGGAATATACAGAGCAGAACTGGACACCTACCTTCCCGATGATGCTGCCCACTTCCTGCAGAGATAACAAGAGTGGACTCAGATGGGTATGAATGTGCCAGGCCCAGCTCCTCCTGTCACTCAGGCAGGGAAGAGACCAGACGTATGCCACTGCTGGCCTATGCCAGCCCCCACCCGCTCACCTTTCCATGCATCAGCATCCGCAGCGTGAGGGTGATGCTAAGCTCTGGCTCCTCCTCCAGCCCCGCATCTGAACTGCTCATTCTGTCAGGCGGGGCTGGGGCCACAGCGGCCTGGGAGTGTGTCCACGCTGTGGCTCAGCTGGCTCTGAACAGGACAGAAGAAAAGAGAGTCTGAGAGGAGCCCTGCTCTTACATGGGGACCTCAAAGAGAAGGGACATAGCATGCCTGGGCCTTGAGCTCTATTCCCTGACCAGTGTATTATTTGTGTGCACCTTCCTGACTGTGTAATCCTTGTCATTTAAGCCTTCTGGGCCTCAGTCACCCAACCTAGAAAATAATTACCAAATCCTACCCTCCAGTTTGTGAGAGTGAAAAAATGAGACAACCATGCGA